TGGATATTATCCTATCACAGATAACATTGTATTTCCAGACAGATCTTGATATGTTCTTTTTGGTGATGAATGTGATGCCATTCCACTTCAATTTGTCATTCCTGGCTTAGTAAACCATGTGGTTGTCAGATTCAAAATGACCAATACCAGTCTATTTCAACTCACTACTACCAAAGATACTGATGTTTATGCATTCCATTTATTTTTTGATAATTTCCAATTTTCCTAGACTTATACTTTGTACATTCCATGTTCTGTTTATTAATGGATGTTTACAGCTGTTTCTCTTCATTTTGAGTTGTGCCCCATCAGCAAATGAAGGTCTTGAAGGTTTTACTCCATTCGTGTTATCATGGTCAACTCTACTTTGAGGAGGCAGCTCTTCCCCAGTCGTATTTTGAGTGCCTTCCAAACTGAGAGGCTCATCTTCCAGCACTATACAATATTCTGGTATTCTTCATCATGTTTTAATAGTCAATATTTTGGTGTCACACTGCTGCTCATAAGATTTTCAGTTACTAAATATTCAGAAATAGTCCATCTCTCATTCTTCCTAGTCTGTCTTCATCTTGAAGCTCATCTGAAACCTATCCACCACAGTTGACCCTACTGGTATTTAAAATACTTGTGGTATAGCTTCCAGATTCACAGCAACACACAAGCCACCACAGTACAACAAGGTGGCATACGAGTGGTTGATTTATGTGCTAGGGCCTAGAAATATCTGGCATGTGGAAAGAGCTGAACGATATATTTTCATTGAATGTCGAATGGATTTAGGTTACTGCCACCCCATCCCCAAACATAGAAAAATGCACAATCCCATCCCATGTCATTCCCCTTCTCCCATCACTCTAAGAACTCATATCCTGTTCTGGAAATTCTTACAGATGGCAGAACCAATGTGGAAAATGTAGTTTTGTCCTCCATGTAGAAACTTTTTTGTTTTAAAGTATCATATAGTGGTTTTGTTCTTATTGCTGTCTTGTGATAAGCAACACCCAATCATAAAGCATTGATTACTGCCATCTCAGTGTCTTCCAGGCAAAGAGAACAGTTAAGTCTTAACAGTATCTCAGTCACATAAAGCAAAACATTCAGATAAGAAGGAATGCTGAGTATTACTGTAGTGCTGCAGGATAATGCACTGGACTGCAAGGTCAATTTGAACCACTAGGTCAGTGGATCAAATCTACCAGCTGCTCCTCAGAAACTCTATACAGGGTCATTGTGGGTCAGAACTGACTCAGCGGCACTTAGCAGCAACAACAACTGTTCAGTGAATTGAATGTCACAAAGAGAGAAGTTGGGCACCTTCACAATTCGTACACACTTCTTTTGAATCACCTCCTCCCTCCTTTTTCTAACCCTTTTCACCCCTGTGCATCTCCAGCTCTACTCTCTCTCACATTCACCTCCTACATCTGTGCCATCTTAGTGACCTTTGTTGACTCCTTCATTAACCCTATAAGTGTAGTCTGCCCTCAGCCCTCTCAGCTTTCTTGTCCCATAAGTGATCAGTCTCTGTAGGCCTGTCCTTTATCTTGAAGCCTACTATAGCACTAATGCCAATCTTGATAGCCAGAATAGAAATTTCAAGCTCTTTGATTCCCTATAGCTTATTTCCCACATACAACTGGTTGCCATACCTGTGAATTCTGTCTGTACCAGATTGGGCTAATCCATCCTCTCCCTTTGGGTGTTAAAGCTATCTGTCGCCTTGGTTCCTAGGTGCCCCGGGCAGTCTCATTGCAGTTTAGTTTAGTGTTGACTCATCTCTGGTCTCTGATGACATCTTAGGGTGGAGTAGAGTGGATAAAGGGTGGCAGGAAGTTTGGAAATATTTGCTTTATATGAAAATATTTCATATTTGGAAAAGTGAAAAAGACATCTATTTTATAATAGCGTAAAACTCAGTAAAATATTCTTGGCTTGAGGAACTATGCATATGGTAGATTATCTTTTGTGAATGTTGTTGTGTGCCATCAAGTTGGCTTCGACTCATAGTGACCCTGTATAGTGTTTCCGAGAGTGGCTGGTGGGCTTGAACTGACGACCTTGTAGTTAGTAGTGCCGTGCCTATCCGACCAGGGCTCTTTTGAGAAATTGTAAGTAGCTACTCAGTCTCTTGTAAATAGTGATTTATCATTTCTGGACCCATGCGAGCTAACATTTATTAAGCTTTATGGATGTTACTTCGTGTAACCTTATTAAGTACAATAGTATTTTCTAGTAAAAAAAAACTGAGGCATTGAGAGTCCCACATCACCCATCTAGTAAATGGTAGACATGGTATTCAAACCCTACAAGTCTGGCTCTTGAACTCTGTGTTACAACTAGAAAAAGCATGAGGCATTTCTAGTTTCCAAAAGGGGAATGGGTGTAATAGACCTGGGGATGCTGGTCTTCTGCAGGCGTCCAAGGTTCCCTGCCCCTCCACACTCTGACCCCATCTAACCAGCCAGAGCTCTCTCCATCTGCCCTTGTGTGCCCTGTGACTGAGGGAGCTAGTTCCCAGGTGGGTCCAGGTGTTTTCTCACTTCTGTCAGGTACTGTTTCCCTAGAGTACCCTCTGCCCCACTGTCATATGTCCCACCTCTATCACCTTTAAGGAGTCACCTTTCTGTTGTTTCTTGTTAGAAGTCTGACCTTCACCTAAGACAGACACATTCTTCAGTTCCTTCTCACTATTCCCTTATTACAGGCTCTCAAAGCCAAATGAAAGCACTTGTCACACCTCACTTGATTATCCTCAAACATTTTTATCCCCAAACTAAGCTAGACATGAGATTTGTCTGTTAAGACTTAAGTACTTTTGTATTCCTTAGTGCCAAGCATGGAGTGTGTTGTGAAAATGATAGGCTTATATTTCCAAAATTGGTAAGTTAAAAATTTCCTAAAGACAAACAAAATCCTGAGCTGTGGTTTCTGAGTCTTAATTTTTGTGAGTCAACCAGATTTCCCCATCCCGTAACATAGCCCAGGCATCTTTCCTTTAAATCAGTGTGGCTTTCTCATCAGAACTCTGCTTTTCCTCCTTGTGACATGTAGGGCCTTTCATCCAGATTCTAAACTGAGCAGTTCTTAGCAGGCAAGTAGAGAACTGGATCATGCGTGCAGGGAGGTGGACCATCTCCAGCTCACTGAACGTCCATTGAGGTTGACTCCCTGGGTGTTTTGGGGGAATGATGCTGCAGAGGTAGGACACGCTTGTTTTATTTTCATTTTCTGTAAAGTGGCCAACAATAATGGGTGAATCAGCAGAGGAAGGCAAACGTGATTCTAATCATGATATCAAAGGGACAGTTCAGTGTCTTTCTGTCCTCCACCGCTTCCTCTTCTCCCACTTCTTTTCCCTACTTTATTAAAAAATGTTTCCCAGGGTACTTAGTTTCATTTTCCTCTCCGATGCATCCTTTTATCCTATGCCAGGCTCAGTTGAATCCTGTTACCTAGACTACTTCCCTTGTCCTTGTTCCTGTAATGGAATGTTCTACATGGTAGTTGGCCAATGGCCTTCAGCACTGTTGGAATCCCTGAAGTTTTCTGACTTCCTCAGGCCTGGCTACACCATTGTTGGTGTTTCTGGATTGACTCCTTGCCTAAAAGCCTTGGGTACAAATGTTCCCTGGTTGGTCGAGATTGGCCCATGCTTGGAGACACTTGGGGTCTTAGTTGCCAGCACAGAAAACACACAAAGCCTCGTTTGTTGGGGGGAAGCATTTGGGAAGTGGGTGCCAGACCCAGATGTGAGCATCTTGGCATGTTGGCCACCATCAGGACCAGTCGAGTATGTGTGTTGGCAGAGAAGCGGGCCTTGTGCCAGTATTACCGCAAGGCTGTGTGTACCTGCGTCCGATGGATAAAACTCACCAAAGCCAGTGGAGAGTTGTGAAAGCCACGTGACAGTTATGTTCTGAGAAAGTCTTCTAAACCTCTCTAAGACAACCTTAAACTAGCCTGCTTATGCTTTTTTACTTGGTACTTCAGATTCTTTTAGCATACATAAATAATGATCCTGCCATGCCCCCCAGACTTATTCTAACTCTTCATTTTTTCTTACCTGCTCTCTGGGGTTGCAGAGACAGGTCTCCAGTTTATAATGTGGGGGCCTATATAAGGATATCATGTTTGCTAAGGTGGAGGGTCAGAGAAAAAGAGGAAGACCCCCAATGAGATGGATTGGCCAAGTGGCAGCATTGATGGATTCAAGCGTGGCAACAGTAGTGAGGTTGACCCAGGATTGGGCAGTGCTTTTGTTCTGCTGTGCATAAGATCACTATGAGTCAGTACTGACTTGATGGCACCTAAAAACAACAACATATACATGTTACAGTCAGTTTTCTGATCAGTGGGGGTAGCTGTTCTCAGACTTCACAAGTCATAGAGTAGTTGACATTTCCACATGGAGTAGGAAAATCTACTACTTTCCTAACACTAATATGGCACAAGAGGAATGGAGCAATATCGAATACGAGTGTTTATTTGCAAAGTCATACAGATGTTGGGAGTCCTGGTGTGGCACTGTGGGTTAATGTGCTGGACTGCAAAGTTGGTTTGAATCACAAAGTCGGTGGTTCAAGCTCACCGCCGCTCCTAGGAAACCCTATTCAGTGTCACTATGGGTTGGAACCAACTCGATGGCACTCAGCAACAACAATATACAGATGTGTATCCTAAAAGGAACCAAAAGCATATATGACTCTTTGAAGAACAGTCTTCTTTCTGTTTGAAACCAAGGTGTTTCTCCCAGGAATTTCTCTGTGCTTAGATAGATTTGAAGATTTGAGCCCTGGACCCCTTTCAAAAGAACCCCTTCTTAGCCCTGCTTTCAAATAAATGCCTCCAGAGAAGGGAATGTGTTGATGGCATTTTCATAGAGGACTTTGGCCTTTTACATATGTGTGAGCAGGGGAGTTCAAGCTTGCTGTAACCAGCTACACATACAAAGCACCCATGTATGCCTCCTTCAAAGTATCCATTGTGCCTCCCCCTTCCAGGTGCCAGCAGATGTTGAGAAATGTCAGGATCGGATGGAGTGCTTCAATGCTGATTTGAAAGCTGACATGGAGAGGTGGCAGAACAACAAGAGACAGGATTTCCGCCAGCTGCTCATGGGAATGGCTGACAAGAACATCCAGTATTATGAGAAGGTAATGAGTGAGCCCCACAAGACCACAGAGCTCTCCTTAAAGAAATGTTTCTAATGAGCAGAGCCTTTTGTGAAGGCCCATTGAACTCCAAAAGCAGAGGCCCTGTCAGCTCCATCATCTTCATTTATTTCATCTGTCTAGTCTTAGCTCCCCAGACATGCTCTTGCTTGGCTGCGCTAAGCACATTGCTGAGTCTGGAAGCAGAGGCACTCACCAGCCCTGACTCCTGTGGGTCTCGCTTGTACATACTGCTGAGAACAGGAATGCTCTCATCTTTCAAATTCTCTGAGCTCAGCGGCTAGCTTCTTCCCAGGGTCAGTGCAGAGATACTGCCAGTCAATGGAGGCTTTAGGCTTAGTTCTCTTGGATTCTACATACAGGAGTTTTTAACATTCACAGTACCAGGGACCCCTTTAGTTATCTGGTGACGCCTGTTGATCCCTTATCAGAATGTCAAAAACCAAACCAGTTGCCTTCAAGTCGACTCGTGGCCATCCCATGTGTGGCAGAGTCCAACTGTGCTCCACTTGTTTCCAGTAGCTGCTTTTTCAGAAGTGGATCATCAGACCTTTCTTCTAAGGTGCCATGTGTGTAAAAAATTAGTACCTCCCAAAAGACCGAAACTAAAGGAGTCTAGGATTCCAAAGGAAAGTGATTCATTTAAAAATAGCTTAATTCATGAGCCCCTTGACCTATGGCCCTCAAGTCAAGCACCCCCAACACACACACACACACACACACACACACACACACACACACACACACCCTGAATGTCTTTCATCAAGCTCTAGCTTAGTCTTTTCATCAAAGTTTACTTGTAACGTATACAATTCTAATTAATTTCTGCTAATGAATCCTGCTATTTCTTAAAAGCTTAAAGTTACAGATGAGGACCAGACAGATCACAGTGCAACAAACAGACTTGAAATCAAGCCGTTAGAAACACACAGCCCACTTGCAGAGTGAGGGCTCCACCACATCTCTAGAACAGGTCTTCATCCCAAACTAGAAGAATCTACCTCTTCTGAAGGCTGTGATGGTTCTGACTGCAGTCCATCTTTGCAGGTTCATTTGGAGTGGAGTAAGGAAATAGTCAGTGGCTAGCCCTCACTTATCAGGTCTTGGGGAAGGACTGTGTTAGGGGGAAATGAAAGAAAGATGCTTACTCAGTCATTTCTAATGGAGGCCTTGCTGTGTGTCTGGGGTGGAACCAGGCTGGATGCTGTGTATATGGCACCTCATTAAATTTAACTGATATCACAATACCATCAAGTGGATTATATGATTTCCAATGTAAAGCTGAAGAAATGGAGGCTCAGCAAGGTTTCCCAACTCCACTCAAAGTCACAAAGCTTGTGAGTGACTGAATTAGGATTGGCACTTGGGTCTGCCAGGTCAAGTCTGAATGCTTGCCATTCCCACTCATCATCCGTGTGTGGAACAGGGTCACACAGTCTTGGGAAACAGGCCTACTTGTGCAGAGGCAGAAAGATCACCCCATGTGAAGTCAAGGTCTGGTTCTTCTCCTGACTGTGCCCTTAGGCAAGGTGCCTCTTTGCATCTCTGTTTCTCCTTCTGTAAAATGGGAATGATTCTTCTCACCTGTGCAGTTGTGAAGGAGCAATGAAATGATGCACACGTGGATGCCCAGAACATACTCAGTACACAATAAATGCTACTTCCTTCTCTGGTCCTTTGCCCTTCTCTCCATTGTTCAGTGGTCTTCTCACTGCTCCAAAGCCAACTAGACCAGATGTCTCCGTAATTTCTCATGGTGATTAATCCCAGTAGTCCCAAAGCCCAGTTCCTAAGACTTGAGCCTCAGGCCTTTATGTTTATGCTTGATAACCTTCCCAGTATGTCACTAACAGGGTCACTTGGGGCCTAGATTTGGCTCCTACGTTCATTTACTAACAACAACAAACAACTTGTGTATTTTGGAGTGTAGTGGCTCTGTATTCTAAGCAATGGATTGAAAATCAAAAGGTTGTCGGTTCAAGCCCACTGACTGCCCCACAGGAGAAAGATGAGGCTTTCTGCTCCTGCAAAGATGTGTACAGCCTCAGAAACTGTATACAGGGTTGCTATGAGTCAGAACCAACTCTGCAGCAATTAACAACAACAACTTGTGTATTTACTGTGTGGGTGGCACTGTAAGGTAAGCACTGGACTGCTAATCACAAGGTTGGCAGTTCAAACTCACCAGCTGCTCCATGGCAGAAAGATGACGCTTTCTGCTCCGGTAAAGAAGCCACAGAAAGCCTACACAGGTTCTCTATGAGTCAGAACTAACTTGATGGGACCTAACAACAACAGCAAAGTGCTCTAGGTATCAACTGATAAACAGAACAGCAGCGCCTCTGCCCAGAGGTCTAGGGACGGGAATGGGCTCCCTGTGGGGGAGCAGATCAGAGAGTGCCAGTCACGAGCCGGTGGCCTGGCATCAATTTGGATTTGTGCCCAGGAGCCAGTCCCTCCTCTGCCCCTGCCCCGATGGAGCCATCAGTCTAGTGGAAGATGCACGTTCATCAGAGAATCCTACAACTTCGGAATGAGCTCAGTGCTCTAAAGGAGAAGAACGAGACACCAGGGGAATGTTAGTTAGGGGGCAGTTAATTCCAACTCATAGAGAACCCATATGTGTCAGAGTAGAACTCTGCTCCAAAGGGTTTCCAAGGCTGTGACCTTTCAGAAACAGATTACCAGGCCTGACTTCCGAGGCACCTCTGAGTGGGTTTGAACCACCAGCCTTTGGCTCATAGCTGTGCATCTACTATTTGTGCCGTTCAGGGACTCCTTGGACAAGAATCACCAATGGCCATCGAGTGGATTCCAACTCTTAGCAACCCTCTGTAGGTTTTCTTACAGGAGCAGATAGCCTCATCTTTCTCCCTCAGAGTAGCCGGTGGGTTTGAACCACCAACCTTGCAGTTAGCAGTTCAATTCCTAACCCACAGTGCCACCAGAGCTCCTTGGAAGAGAATAAAAGGGTAAGTTTCAAATTAGGGGCAGAAGGGAACAGGTAGAATGGGCAGGAAACGTTGATTTAAAGGAATAATATTTAGTCTGAGATTCAGAGACAAAGACATGGGAAACAAATATTCCAGGCAAAGGGAACATTTGTGAGGGCCTTGAGGTAGGAAAAGAGCTCAATGCATTTGAGAAATGAGAAGAAATTTTACTTGCCCAGTGCTGATGTGGGAGGATTTTTCCAGATCTGAAATGACAGCCTAGGGAAAGAGCAGGACTTGAAGATAAGATCCTTGAGGCTCTTTGGGCTTCATTACGTAGAGCAGCATTCCAAGTCTAGATGTTTCTCCAACCTCAGTCACCAAAGAAGCAGGAACTGACCTTACCATTCCCTTTCTGCCTTCACCTAAAGGTCCCTCTCTCTTTACACCCTCTCAAGACTCCCTCCAAATGACTCTGTTACAAAGTCCTTTTTTACCCCTGGACTTTCTTCTAAGAAAGACCCAATGCAGTTCTGTTGTTCCCTTCATGCAGAAGAGTGCTCAAGGGGAGGGTATTTTGGCCAAGAAGGGGGTTTCTTGGAGAAGAATGTCAGGGTCTTCTGAATTCTTGGTCTTTCACAGGGTCTGGAAATCAGTCGAAAGCATGCCAGTTTGGGAATTATGAGCTGTGTCCTAGTTGTCTTGGGAAAATTACCCTCTTTGGATCTCTTTCCCCATCTGTTGAATGTGTGTATGTGTGTAATTGTTGTTGTTAAGTGCTGTGGCATTGGTCCTAACTCATTAGCAACCTTGCATAGGGTTCCCAAGGAGCGGCTGGTGGGTTTGAACCACCAACCTTGCAGTTCATGGTCCAGTGCTGGTGTAATGAGTAATAATAATTCCGCCATTGTGAGGACTAATATAAAATACTTAGCAGTGTTTGGAACATAGTAAAAATCGATAGGTAGTGGGTGCCCCTTGCCCCATTCTCCCTTTGGGAGATCCAAGAATAACCCGAGTCCTGGCGTGACACTGTAGAATAAGCACTGAACTACAAGGTCAGTTTGAACTGCAAGGTCAGCAGTTCACACTCACCAGCTGCTCCTTGAGAACCCTCTATAGGGTCACTATGAGTCGGAACCCACTCAACAACATGAGTAGTCCAGACAAGCAAATCTGAGGTTGATGAAAAACAGTGCGTTTTCCAAGCCCATCTGACACAGGTGGTTGGCTCATTCCAATTATGACTTAACATTCTTAAACAAGAACCACCCACACCTGGGTTAGAGCCTCCTTCTAGCCCGAGAACCTAAATCTACTAGGCTGATCTGTACTTTTTGAAGAGAAAGAATTTCTTATAATGAGTACCTTCCCGTTCATTGGAGATAAACTTTATGGATTAACGTGAATTCATCTAAGTTGATGCTTAAAAGGTAGGGATGATGCATTCAAAACAAATACCAGTGATCTTGCTTGCTTATGAGTTATAGATAATATATGTAGGTGTCTTTAGACAAGGGTGACCTAGCAGGTTTGGCAGTGAAATCATAGATCAGAATAGAATTAAAATCAACCTCCAAATCTGGTACTTGGTGTTGATACTTTGTGTGTGGGCTGTCATTTCAGTGCCTCATGGCGTGGGAGTCGATTATTCCACTTCTGCAGGAGAAACAAGAGGCCAAATAAGTTCCTTCTTGGGACAGAGACTCTTCTACCTACACAGGGCATGGCTCCCGTGCCAGAATGTCCCTGCAGTGCCAGAGAGGCGGTGTTGGGAAAACAACCACAGAAACATCTCTCCTTTGTGTATTTCTTCCCTTTACCCACCTCGCCCTACAGTTGCTTTTAATTAGTATTTATTCCTTGGTGGAGTCTCCTGAGGCTGTAGTTACCTCTCAGCAAAAGAAGCATACCTCCGTGTTCTGAAGGAACCCACTAAATGGAACACTAAGAAGATTTAAAGCTGAGGGACAAAACAGTCCTCAGCTGACATCTGACATCTATTTACAGTTTTCTTTGGGACAGCTGAGTTACCTGCCGTGGGAAAAAAGCCAGGTCCTATGTTTTCAGGACATGAGGGAGATACGACTAGAGGGTCACCATTGCGTCCCACGGATACACAGGGACTCTGGAATTGACCTCGGTGGGCACTGCCTTGTTCCAGCCTGGAGGAAGCGTTAGCCCCTCCATGGAGAAGTCCTTAATGTACAAGTGGCCTGTAACTGCCAGTGTGACCTGATGCTTGCTTATGCTGAATGACACCTGTGTATTGTTTCTAGTTCATGCGGTTCGCGTGTCTGCTTCGTGACCTAAATTGGCCGAGTGGCTGTTTGTGTCCATGCTTGAGCAAGAAAGCCAGCGTCCTTATCCTTGTGTGATGATCAGGAAGCTAAGCTCCCTGACTTGTTTATGGCATGAGAATGCACTAGATTGGAAAGTGGTTTTGTGTAAAATGGGGTTAAAAAAAAAAAAAGGTTGCATCTTTCTCATGAAGTTCTTAAATATTTTGTTTGTTAAATGTCATCAGAGTAGCGATTAGACCTGTTAGAGGTATACCTGTTGTCTTGAAGTCAGAGTAGTTCCCCGCTCTCAGTAGACATACTGAGCACCACCTCCAGTGTCTGCCTTGTACAATTTGCCTTCACTTCATCCAAAATGCCAATTTTAATATTTCCCACTATGTCCACTGAATGTTTGGACAACCGTTTGATGAGCGGCTGGGATGTTGTATTGTTATGACAGTCTAAATCTGTAAGTGAAATGTGAATGGTCTCCATGAAGTGCTTTAACACTATTTCCTGGTCAGGAAGAAAAGTCAGTATCTAGAAAAACATGTGAGGTGACACATACAAGCTTCTAGCTTGGCTAAAATCTCAATTTGCAGCCAAATTCCTGGAGGCTCCTGGCTGTGTCTAAAGTTTTCACTTCAAACCATTACCTGTTGCTTTTCAAATCAACCCAAAGCTAGCAGACAATTTTTTTTTTCTCCTGAAATGAAGCTCTACATATGTCATGTTTGTATTATTTCATCTGAGACTGACTCATCCCTATAAATTAATCTGAGCCTCAAATAAGTGGTAATATCCTCTTACCCCCCCCCCCCCCCCCCCCCCCAAATAGAACAGGGTATGCTAAGATGTTGCTTCATATGCACAGAGACATGCAAATCCTGGTCAACACACAGCATGTTGAAGTCGCCGGGTTCCACTTTTGAATGCAGAGTTGACCTAGTATCAGCAGTTGGATGTCATAGAACACTTTGGTTCTGTTTCATCCTGTTTGAAAAGCCCTACTTTAAATGATAATTGTCATATCTCTTGGTACTTGCCTGCTATCAGACCTCATCCATACCACCCTTAAATCCTCTGTTGTGAGTTTGCAGTTTGATGTACTTCGAAATGATTCATTGAAGTAGAGGGATGAAAACAATCCATCCCTGATGGTGGTCCAGCATTTCATTCTACCTCTAAACTCATCCTATTGGTGTGGAGATGGGTGTCTGGGTCTGGCCTGACAGGTGGCTGGTAGAATTTGTGTGCCTATCTATTGATGACTGTCAGGAGACGCTACACTGGTCTAGTAGTAAATGCTCACCTTTGAAGATGTATAGAAGCTTTGCCTTTAAAAATGGTGCCCAGTGTAATTAATGAACAGTTAGAACTATGGAAAGACTGAAAACTAGAATCTGACTACCTGCTAGTTGCCAGACATTCTTGTGTAGTGGGGTGGGTGGGTGGAATAATCAGAGTCTAGTTCCTCACTGAGAGGAGATGTAGGTAAGGGGAGGCATTAAGGTATTTGAAGGAGGGAACTGAAGGGACTCAGGCACATTGGGATTGGGTTTTTTATTTTTGTAGGGGGCCCATGTGGTCTTCCTGTTCTTTAAGACACCAAAAGGAACTGAAACAAGATAGCTCTTTTGTCACCGGACATACCATTGAGAGCAGAGTAGAGAAAATTGGTGTTGGTTACTGACATCCTTGGAGAAATGATCTTCCCACAGAAGGAACCCTTTTCCTTTCTTCAGGCTGGCATCAGTGAGGTGAGGAGGCTCCCTAGCGCTTCGTTCCCTGACAGCTCTCGTAGGTCCTGGAAGGCCAGAACCCAAAGCATTTATCTCTGCATCTTGAACAGCACAAAAGTGATTCCTTCTGTGCCAAAGACTGCCTTGTGGAGTTGCATCACCCCATCCTTAGCTCCACAAAGTTGTGGTCCTGAGATCACCAAAGTTTTGTGCTTGAAGGTGTGCCTTACCTTAAGACTGACAAGAGATAGGTTTTGAGGCTTGAGATTGCTGTGGAGTGGAATAGCATCCCCCAGCAGCTGCTTTGGGCCTGAAAAGTAAAGGTTTCATTCACTCTTGATTAAAAATCCAGGTGAAAGCAGAAGAGGGAATTCCTAGAAACAGCAGATTTTAGAGATATAAGTGATATGTGAGTGATTTCCAGCAGGTGTGAAGAACTCTGCTGTTCGTTAGAACTGTAAGAAGAGTCTTAAGTTACTCTGCCCCCACAGCAAGTAACCACTGTATGAGAAGGACAGTCAAATTTGGGGCTGGATTGTCCTTGAAGAAGACATTGATGATCTCTGATGAATTTAGCCAAGTGCGATTATGGAGGTCATTGTCTCAGTATCTCACCATGCTGCTGTTGAACTCACCAGACACCTTTCTTTACCTGAAATGAAAACCAGCACAATGTGGTGAATGTAAGATAAATTCAATTTCATGCCAAATTCAACCCCACCCAGAGTGTATTCTAGATGTTGGACTGAATCTGTACCAGTGTTCTCTTAGTTGCCACTGAACATGAGGAAATTAAAGGCACACCTGCTGCTCACATCACACCTCTTGGGATGGGACTACAGGAAGTTCTTCTTTAGAAGAGACCATGATGATCATGTGGCAATTGACAAGGGTAATTTCTAGCCTAGAGAGTTCCTGGCCCACGGAACATCTAGAGCTCATGTGACTTGGCCCTGCCATTGACAACATTGAAATCCTAGGTCATTAACTGGGTTGCAGAATAGTCATTTTGTGCATTCCATTCAGAGCTGGTGAGAGAGGAGGGAGCGTGAGGTCAATACAACATTGTCTGTGTTGGCCCCATCTGTTTGGGCTCTGGGGTGGTACAGGGGCCTACTTTGGTTCAATAAGATTGCTGACCACCCTAAAGGGTGCATCCTCTCAGAAGACTGCCTGTGGTCAGGGCAGGGAACACCACTCCAGAGCTCACCCCTCAGATGCCTACTTAGGAGCCTGTGGGAACTGGGTAATATAATTACATGGCTGAGGTAAAATTGCTTTGGCTGCCCTCATTTACCAAATTATTTGGGGAGCTTGGGTTGGCCTTCTCATTTTCACAAGTCCTCAAGATGGCAATAGATTAGACATGCTCCTTACTTCTGTTTTCTCTATTCAGATGATTGGTGGTTTACCAGTAATTTGAGGAAAATGTCATCTCCTGGACCAAACTTAATGGATTGAGTAGGGTATATTGGAGTTGTACTCTTTCTTATGGGCTTTTGTTTGTTTGTTTTATAACTCAGTGACTAAACTAGGAGCCTGATTTTGTACCAACCCACTCAGTAGGCTGCCACCGTTTGCTTGAATGTTGCCTGATGCTCCCGAGAGTTGCAGAGTATACAGGGGCTCTCTGCATTAGAACTGAGAAGGACCTTGTTAATGGGATGGGTTGACTGTTCTTTCTTAATTGTATGTGTTTGAAATGCATTTTGGGTACGACTGTCTAACCCTTTTTATGTGGCAGAAGCGTATGTCATCCTGGTAGTTTTTACTACTAGAGATCGCCTGTAAATAAGTGCTTTGAAAAAAAGAACTTTAGCAAACCATTAAGATATTGCTTCACATATAAACATTCTGTGTATTTAGCACTTGAAAATCAACAACTCTAGGTTTTAAAAAAGTGTCAGAGGCTGTTAAAAGCAGAATTCTACTTTTTGAGAATTTGTCAACTTACTAATATGCCTTATTCTTCAACTAGTGTTTTTAAAGTTCTGGGTAGAGTTCTAGAGATGGAATCGGTAGTGCAGCTTAATTACTATAGATGTGGCTTAACCAGCCAGTCCTCAGTCCTCTGAAAGAAACCAGCAAGAAAGGCTAAAAGGCTGCCTATTTGGAGAAAACAGTATTACTATTGCCAAATGCTATTTTTTTGATAATGTGAGGAAACACCGGGAGCACAAAACCTCATTTTGTTTTAAAGTTTGAAAAGATTAGTGCCTTTTTGGCATACTTTTAGTTGTAGAGGATATGTTATCAGCACTGGCAAATGACACGTTGTTGTTAGTGCCGTCGAGTAAGTTTCGACTCAGCGACCCTGTATAGGGTTTCTAGGGCTAGGGCAAATCATATAGATACAAAGAAATCTGTAGATTTACCCCAATTCTGCAGAGCAACTTTTTAAGATTTTTAGGGGGCGGACTCCAGAGCAGCATGTTTTGGATAGGAATTCTCCGCAGGTTGAAATGCCAAAAACATTGATTCCCATAATTTTTTCCACTTGAACAGCAAAGCTTTTCCCACTAAAACCATTGATGAAGAGTATTGTACATACAGCTCAGCAACACCAAACACCTCGCCAGGTGGGTCTGGGCTCTGTAGTCTCTGCCAGGGCTGGTAATACCTCTCAAACCCCTGTTTGACAGGCTCAGGCATAGTCTCAGACCAGCCTTTCAGTCAGCAAATGAGAGAGGGAGGGAAAAGGGGGTCTTCCCCACAGTACGGAAATGGGGAGAGAGGAAAGTGGATTGCAAACAAAACTATGAGTCAGTTTGTAAAGTGATGCCTGTGTTACCATCTCTGGGCCTTCATCAAATAGCAAACCAGCATCTCTTAACAGCCAGCATTGGCCTCACAGACATCCTAGAGATTTTGGTCCATGCATTCCTGTGTGCCTATTCCCTTGATCTCTCATGAGCGGGGGGCAGGATTGCGTTGAGAGTGGATGTACATTTGATAAATTCCCATGAAGAAAACTGCCAACAAACTGTCTAACTTGTATTTTAACTGTTGAAGATGAGATGAAAAAAAAATGTGTGCTTAAGTTATGGACTGTATCCTTATTTTTTAAAAATAATTCTTTTATGTTTAAAAATTTCTGCGGTATTGATAAAGTCCTCTGTGTAAATGTGTTCTCTGTTATCCATGCTGCCATTAAAGCCAAAATGAAAGCTGTGAAAACAAAACTGTGCTAGAGAGAACTTATGTGTAGATGACAAAGTGATTTATTTACAGATCAAGTCTTTGTTTTATAAAGCTACCAAACTTTCAAATGACTGTCGCCTTTTTCTTTAATGAAACCCAGAGACTTGTAAAAAAAAATTTTTTTTAAAAAGACGTTTTTGTTGAACTTCTGATGCTGGCACAAGGTTTTTGTCCACCTTTTTTCCCCCATATATCTGTGTATAAAAAATACCTGTTGTTTACTATGGGACTGGTATTACATTTTGAGGTTTAAAAAAAAAAAAGATTTGTATTGCTTGATAAACTATTAGTGTGTAAATTTTTAAAAGTTTGTTTACCTCAACTTAAAATAATGGACCAATAAACTCATAAAAGATGCTTTCTGTATCTGAGTCATGTTCTCATTTGTATCTCTCTCTTGTTGTTGTTGTTGTTGTTGTTAAGTGCTGTCGAGTCAGTTCTAACCCATAGTGACCCTGTACAGGGTTTCCAAGGCTGTAAATCTTTTCAGGAGCAGAAAGCCTTCTTTCTCCCGTGGAGCAGCTGGTAGTTTCAAACTGCTGACCTTGCAGTTCGCAGCCCGATTCGTAACCACTACGCTACCAGAGCTCCTTCTCTAGTACAGGAAAATGTGCTTTGCTTTTGTTTTTCTCTCTTTTAAAAGCAATTTGCAAAAATCATGATATAAAGAACAGGAGAAAAGATAAAACGTTTTTATTGTGAAATCTGTGTAACAAAACATTTCAACCATTTCACCCTTTTTGCATGTAATTCAGTGACATTCTTTACATTCACCTTGTTCAGCATCAATCACCATGATTTGTTTCCAAATTTTCAATTGAACTATTTTGAGTCTTCATTTCTTTATAGAACCATCTTCAACTTACCCTCCCCTATATTTTACAAATTGGTCCAGTTTGGGGAAATGAAACTTTCCTAGTGTTTATGTAACCATAGTGATTGGCAAGCATGATGACATTACATGAAGGATTTCTTTCAATGAACTCTAACCCATAGCAAAGCACAACAGCATATTCTATGCCAAGGCTAGTCATTTCCGAATTTCTGTTGGCTGCCATGTTGTTGGTGGAGAATTTGTGAAGAAAGAAGAAATGTCTGTGATTGATTAACCACATAACATACACTAACATTCATTAAGGTATTACTGTATGTTATGAATTCAGGGCCAGAGTACACAGTTGTACCTAATAATGGTATAACTAAAACCAAACCCATTGCTCTTAAGTTGTTTCTATCTCCTAGTGACTATATAGGACAGAGTAGACCTGCCAGTAGGCTTTCTAAGGCTCTAAATCTTTACAGAAGCAGACTGCCGCATTTTGCTTCCGCAGAGCAGCTGACAGATTCAAACCACGGACCTTTTGGCTTGCAGTCCCCCTAGGATCCTTTAATGATGACAATGCATTGGAAATGAACTTAAATTGGTATCAAAGTTCACTTACTGATTCTACTCATGATTATAATAAGTCTGGGGTCACACAAGGTAGGATAAGAAAGAAAGGAAATCAAATCTCAGCTTTCCCACTTAACTGGCTATGTGATTTTAGGAATCATCTTTCTCTGAACTTCAGCATTGTGACCTCTGAAATGACGGACCTACTGTGGAAAAAATCAAATTCCACTTATTAATACCATTCCTCTCTGTTCCAATTCTGACACCAGCTGCACACGTAGCACTTCTTCCTCTGATCCTAACCACCAAGAGCTCGGTCAGATTTCACAAGTCTGCACAAGACTTCAGACTTATGACACAAACCTGGGAGTTTCCACAGTACCCTCACTTCTGACCTGCTTCTGTCTGCCACAACTCACTAGGTTTCAACAGTCTGCTAGGACAACTCACAGAACTCATGGAAAGTGCTACACTTAGGATTACAGTTTTATTATAGGAAAAAATGATGCCAATGAAGATGCTTATAGGGCGAATTCTGGGAGGGTTCCATGTCCCAAAAGGAGTGTGCTATCTTCCCACGTACATTGATGTATTTCAGCAACCAGGAACTTCCATGTCAAGAGCCTTTATTGGAGCCCCATAATGCATGGATGTCTTAGCATTTTTGTTACAGGATACATCATTGCTGTTCTGTCTGCCCCACCTACCAAACACTACACTCTGGGAGGGCAGGAACAGTGAAGTCGTTTCGTGTTTCTCAGTATTTAGCATAATGCCAGGATCTTAACAGATATACCATAAAATGTTCATTCACTGTACTCCATAGGGTTTTCAACGCTGTGTAACCTTTTAGAAGGAGATTACCAGGCATGTGTTTCTGGGTGTGTTTGAATCACCAACCAATCTGTTAGTAATCAAGTGGTCAATTCTTGTGCCACGTAGTAACTCCTGCAAGGGTTATTAGAGATACAGACTCTGAGCTCAAATGCTCTGAGATTTAAATGCATTCTTTGACTTTGTGTTTTACCCCAGCATAAGACTGCCACGTCTGTTGTTAAAGAGGGAGTCTGGCTTGGGAAAGAATGACCCACACACTCATTATGAATGGTAGTTTTATTAGGAGGTGAGTCAGTTTTTATACATGTAAGAAAATAGGCTATAAAAATAGTACTTCAAAATTAAGTGGTTTTTCACACACTTCCCCTTTCCCTTCACACCATCTGCATTTTGGAAGTATTGTCTGTATTCAGTTTAATTTCCCACTGAAGAAAGTCTTTTGATATTTGCTTCCTAAAAAACAAAAATTTACCCTGGGGCTCTCCTGAACAATTCACAGTTAAAAAGACCCCAGGAAACAAAACTTTTTTAAAAAAGTTTTAAAAATGCTGACCGATGTTCACTGATATTGGCAGTTTTTACAAAATCTTCAGTTGTTGAAAATGCATGCCTTTGCATGTGTTCCCATATGGGACTTTGAGTATCACACTTAGATGACTAGTTAGCCGTACCTTGGAGCCTCAGACAAGAAGGGCTGGGCACCTGGAGCTGGAGCTTAAAAAACCCCACACTGCTAGGTATGGCTGTACATTAAGCCTGCAGACAACCCTTGAAAGATTATGCTCTGCTGCCTACAGAACCTAACCTCACCCTATTGTTGTTGTTGTTGTTAAGTGCCGTCGAGTCAGGGTGTGTAAAAGCTGAGTTCTGCCATCACCCGGAAAGTGTATTTCCCCACCCACCAACAATTGGTTCTCAGGTTGACTCTGGCTGTAACATTTTTGGCACTGCCATTTGTGGGCAGTGGGTTCCTTGGGTTGCCAGTTCTCCAGTCTCTCCCTTTATCTTCAAGGGGGTCTTGCTTTCTGCTTCTGCAAGTCAGCACCTTCATTTCTCCATGACATCTCCGTATTGTAACCATGGGGCTAGTTTACAGGCCACGATGCTGCAAGAATTGACAATAGAGAGTTGTAAGAGAAAGCTGGGATTGGTCATGGGGTCTCTTTTTCTTCCCCACGGAAGTCAGGAAGATCTCTACTACTGGTAATCATTGATAGTTTGCCTGACTATACCCATTATGATCCATTAAAACCACTCCATGGAGAATATGCTGGGTGTGGTGATGAACTGAGGGCATTTCTTCCCTTCCAGCATTATTCTAGTCTTGTAGTCCTGAACATCTCCCATAGTACCATAGTCTACATTTCCTCATCTGTACAATGGGGCTAATAATAGTAATTATCTCATAGGATTTTTAGGATGGCTTAATAAAAATATATGAGGGGCTTCAAAAATTCATGGACAAATGAAAAGATTAAGGGATTTTTTCCAGGAACTTTTTGAAGTTTCCTCATATAAAATACTTAAAGTAGTAGCAGTGCCTGTCACATTGTAAGGACCAGTTAAGTGTTTGCTATTGTTACCATTATACAAGGAATGACTAAAAAGAAGAACAAAATAGGTGCAAGTGCATAGGTTTGTCGATCTGCTTTGGAAAAAATTAAGGTGTTCTTTTCTGATGGCTTGTACTTTCTGGATGAAGCATGAGGCATTAACTGGATGCAGAAGTTTGGCAGAAGGAGGACTGTGGAAGGGCAGAACAGCACAGTTATTTCCTTGGCTCCTCCATGTTACATGTAAACAAGAGCAAAGAGGAGCGGCCAGGTTCTCTTAGTAACGAAATCAGCTCATTTTGGTCCCAGGCCATGTCCCTTTGGTTTGCAAACAGGCTGTTGGCAGGTCTGTTCCAGGGAACACTCCTGGCATCAAGGAGGAGGATGTAGAGCATGGCACGGTCCAGCATCCCACCCTCCTCTGTGTCTATGCTTTGACATACCTTTGTGAAATATTACATTGCTGGAATGTAGCTTTTCTTTCTGGTGAGAAAGTTACACTGGTCTTTTCTGTTACTCATTTAATGATTGAAGATAATAGCCTTGACCTCTTCCAGCTATACAAATGGTTCAAAAATATTTAGTGATTTCATGGACAGTAAAGATAATAAAGACACTCCCTTTTTATATCAGAAGTTATATCAAAAGTCTTGGTTGTCCATTAGAATAGCCTGTAGAACTTTTAGGGGTGCCCATGTCCAGGCTGCACCCAGAGCAACTGAGTCAGAATCTCTGGGGTCGAATCCAGGCACCAGTGATGTTTAAAGCTCTCCAGTCAATTCAAATATGCAGAGAGCAAGGCTTTATTTGCACATGTGTTCCCTCTACAGCTAAATGGCTACAGCAGAGGGGACCAGTTAGCAACTGGTACTCATTCACATTGGTACTCAGTTGCTTAATGTGTTGCCTTACTTGATTGGTTCAAGAGTTAGTTTCTGCTTCTGTGAAATATGGTCACTTAAATATGCATGGCTTAACTGTATTAAATACACAAAGCAGATGAAACTAAAAAGAAACCAATTATTGAATTTTTAAGTTGCTTTTATTAAAAGCAATTTATCTTTAGCCATGACACATGTAGAACTTGTTTTCTTCATGTATCTGTGTGGGTGTTTGTTGAGGTTGAAGAAAATATTCCAGTCAACTGCTAACCAATATGACTGAATCAGTTTAAAGAAGCAGAACTACTGATCCATTACCCACTTGGCCAAAGAACTGGGACTCCTACCTACAACTCAAGCTAGCGCTAGCCAAGCTTCCTTCATTCAACATTGGGATGAAAACCAGAGTGCATGAAGAGACTTAAGGGCTAGGCAGCTGAAGGACAAATCTAGTTTAGCAAAGTGAGAGCTAAGCTGAGAGGACACTAGTAATAAGGCCTGCTTCAGGCACAAGATCTTTCAGCTGTTTGATCTTCATATCTTTTTCAAGTATGTAATAAAGCATAGAACTGTCCCCGGAAGCTCAGCTTTCTCTGTAGGCAGAGACCTATTTGTAATGTCAAAATTCCAAAAAGAGCCTTAGCACCATCCGTTTCCTGCCCCTTCCAAACTGCCTTCCAATAGTTCCCACTCTACTGCCTCTAAGGAGCTCTTTACGAGTCGGGCTGCTAACTTCAAGGTCAGCAGTTCGAAACTACCAGCTGTTCCACGGGAGAAAGATGAGGCTTTCTGCTTCCTTAAAGATTTACAGCCTTGGAAACTGTATATAGGGTTGCTATGAGTCAGAACCAACTCAACGGCACACTACCACCACCACCACCTACTGCCTGTAATACCACGATTGTTGTTGTTGGTGACTGTCAAGTCAATTCCAACACATTGCAGCCTTGTAGGGTAGAGTAGAATTACTACATAAGATTTCCTAGGCTATAAATCTTTACAGAACTCTGGTGTGGCACTGTAGGATTGGCACTGGACTGCTAACCATGAGGTTGGTGGTTCAAACCCACCAGCTGCTTCTCAGAAACCCTTTACAGGGTTGCTAGGAGTTGGAACCAACTCGAGGGCACTTAACAACAACAAATCTTTATGGAAACAGATGGTCTTATCAGTCTCCCTTAGAGCGGCTGGTGAGTTTGAACCACCAACCTTCCAGTTAGCAGTCCAATGCTTAACTCACTGCATCACCAAGTGTCCTTGATACCATCATTGCTAATATGTAAAGTTCTCATCTGCCTCCAGACAGAACTTCTTAAAATACAAATCTATACCAAATTTCTTATACCTTTTAGTGGATCGATTTACCATATTTCTTTCTCTTCTGGGGGGACTAATACAAGCATCAGAGACCCACAGTTAAAGGAAAGAAGTAAAAAGATTTAAACAGTTTAAAGCTTATCCAACTTGGTAGCCTTATGTGGTGCTGTAGGATAATTGCACTAGATTGACTGCAAGTTAGATTGAACCACAAAGTCAGTGATTCAAACTCACCACCCGCTCCTTGAGTCAGAACGGACTCAACAGCACTTAACAACAAAACCACAATGTGGTTACTAAACACTTGAGAAGAATCTAGTTTGAATTGAGATGTGCTGTAAGTATAAAACACATTTTGAAGACAATATAAACAAATGAAAATCACATTAATAATTTTTAAGATTAAATACATATTGAAATGATAACTGTTAGACTAAGTCAAATATGTGATTTAAATTAATAACACTTATTAGTTTTAACTTTTCAAAATGTGGTGTCTAGAAAATTTAAAGTCACTTATATGGCTTGCATTTGGGGTTTGCATTACATTTTGGTTGATAGGGTTGGTCCAGAGTGGGGTTGAAGATCAAACTATTCCAGGCTTTCGATTTAGTGGAAGACCCAGGCTACTGCTCTCGCTGTGGGCCCAGCATGCCTCTCCTCAGCTTCTCTAGCCTTCTTCCTATTTCCCAGACTTGAGTGCTCTGATTTTACCAATGAGACAAATGAGGCTTAGAGAAGTCAAGGGCTTTGCGAAAAGAGATGCTCACACAATCCAGTGGTCTTGACTTTTCAGTGGCACTAAACACAGGTTGCCAATTGCCAAGGCCTCAGAGGGCACAGAGAAAAGAGAGTCTTGGCCATGAGGCAGGATGACTTTCATCTGAGGGAATTAAACAAAATAGGTCTAAGTGGTTCAAAAGAGTTGCCAATTCCAGCTTCTGATTATAAGGAAGTATAAGAACTCCTATAAATAAATTGTCATTATGACACAGTCCAGAAATGAGCCAGCAAGTTGGGACCTTCTGTTCCCTATTTGTGATTTGGGGAAAGTCCCAACTTGCCAGATTATTAATTGGGGGAAACAGGAAGACTTTTTCTTTATGGGAGAGCCTACTTGGAACCTGCTACATAAATGCAGAAATCCTTTCTCATGCGGGGCTGAAGATGGCCCAGCATTCCTTGACCTAAACACCAAGGCCCCAGCCCAAACAGCAAACTCTGCTCCCATCGTCTTACCCAACAGGGATGATGGCCAGAAAGGAGAGGAAGGAGGAGAGAACAAAGCAGGTGCCGATGAACTTTTCCATGGAAAGCTGATAGAGCTCGTTAAACACTACAGATGTCACCACCCCTGTCAGAGCCAGGGAAAGCTGCAGTATGACAAACACCTTCCCTGTGGAAAGGACAGAGGTTATCAAGATGTGCTACACAATATGATTCATGTAACTGAAGCCACTGAATTGCACATATGAATGTGAAAAACGTTGACTTGACAAATGTTACGTTGTATAATATAACAACAACGGCAAAAATTCACTGCTGTTCTGTCCCCATATCCTACTAGCTGAGTCTCTAGGGCACTCTTAGGGAATCCCTTGCCATTCACAAGACTTCATCTCAGACTTGGTAGCTCAGTTCACCAGGAATTCTGCCTCTATCAGTTGGAGCTTCCTGATACCTGTGAACTTGGGGTCCCTGCACTGCTCCTAGACGCAGAGAAGGACAGATGCCAAGACACATGGAGAACTTGAAGGAATGATGGGTTTACAGGTACTGAAAGGAGACAAAGATCTTTCTCCAGAGCCAGTGCTTTGAATTCAGACTTCTGAACTGTGAGTGAGTAAATTTCTATTTGTTGGAACCATCTACTTTCCTGGCATAGTGCAGTAGGATATGCACTGGACTGCTGACCACAAGGTTGGTGGTTTATACAGGTTTGCTATGAATTGGAACTGACTTGATGACACTTAACAACAAGCCATCCACTTGTGGTATTTCTGTTATAGCAGCACTAGATAACTAAGACAAACAGTAAGCAGGCTTTGGAACAAAATCCCTGCTCTAGCTCACTTCCCACTAGTGCACAGTAAGACCTGTCTTGGTTATTTTCCACAGCAGAAAGGGTGTAACTTTGGCCTTGTGGATGAAGTAAGGAGAAGGGATGCACAAAGCCAAGGAAGCCATCCCCAGCTCCTCCTTCCTCAAAACCACCAGCAGTGGGTGAATCTTTAAAAGAAAACTCAGGAACACAGTGGGAGAATTAGGTAGTTTCTTTGAGACTTTTCAGTGATTAGTTTTCTGAGTCTTTCACTCACTCTGCGCTGCATGGAAACCAGTGTATTCCTTGTGTATTTGGTGCTGTTTCTGGAACTCTCTTGTGTGCCTTCTGCAGGTCCAAACCCCATGCCCCAAGCTGAGCAGCTCTGAGACAGTCCTGGCAGACGCCTTCCACTCACCATAAGAGGAGTCCTTTATGAGCTTGGACATTGCTGATCTGATGGTTGTGATGGGGATCAGAGCAAACAGCATGATGGCTCGAGCTGCAAGGAGATCACACAAAACACAAAGGAGTAAATTACAACAAAACAAAAGCCTCGCTTAGAACTTTCTCTTTCCACAATCCCCAGTGGCTTGACCTGAAAGATGTCATTTCTCTGCTGATTGACTAGACCTCTTCCCAGGCCAGATTGTTAATCCTACCGCTCTGTTGCAGCTGTATTTGCTGCATATATATCGGAAAAGTGGCACATCACAGTTTACATGGTGACATGATGAAGGATGTCTTTATTGACAGCGTTCATTGGTTCTTAGGGATGTGAAGTTTGTACCACTGAAGTGACTCAAGGTCCTTCTTTTTGCCTCCCTGGAGTGGAGGTGCCTGCCATTTATGAACATGCCCAGTCACGTTTGGGAGATGGTCCTCAGGAACTTTGGCAAATTGCATCCAAATCTCTGTCTCACTAACACAACTGCCTATACATCCCTTTTCCCTCAAGTCCTATTCCTATTGATTATTCAGATGCTCTGTGTGTGAGAGAGAAAGAGAGAGGAGGAGGAGGAAGGAAAGGGGATGGGAAAGGGCAAAGAAACTGGCACTCTGGTCTTTCCACACATCTGGTTAAACTGGGAGTTAGCTAGATGTACTCTTACCATTTTAAAGGTGTTTTTCTGAGGTGTGTGACCAAGGCCTCTGGTAACCATCTAGAGATGTACTGTTACTACATTAGCCATTAGCCATGTGTGGCTATTTAAACTAAATAAAATTGAGTAAATTTAAAAGTCTGTTCAGTTTTAATAGTCACCTTTCAAGTCTTCATAGACACATGACTAGTGGCTAATATACTGGAACAGCGATAGAACATTTCCATTGTTGTAGAAAAGTTCTATTGGACAGAGCTTTCTGCGTATGTCTTTGATGGAAACTTCATTTGGCTTCCTGAGAAAATCTATTACATTGGCTGTGGAGGGTATTTATTGAGGATTTTAATTCATTTTCTAAAAGCCTTTGGTGAACCCCAAATGATTTTAAGTAAGAGGCCTTTTCAGTAAGATTACTTAGTGTTTAATCCCTTCAAAAGTGAAGAGAGAAAATTCAACACAATCTCTTCCTTCTTCCAAGGTTGCCTGAAGACTCCCTTACTCACGATGGGTATCAGTGACCACCACAGCCCCCACGCCCCCCCCCAAATCACCCAACCTTCCAGAGCCATGGACACCATTCTAATAACTTTTTAATCAGAAATACTTTAGAAGAGATCAACTCAAATGCACAGAATCCTGTTTCCCTTGTTCCTCTTAGGTTTCAAGTAGAATGGTGCTGAGCTGGGGTACCTGGGCCACGACAACCCTGGTGTTAGCCTGGTGAGGCCTGGTGAGGCAGGGGGCCAGCAGTGGCCTGTCTCCAGAGAATGCCAGACTTACCAATGTAGAACATGTATGTCTTTTTCACAAAAGCCAAGAGTAGGGCTCCAGACCCAAAGGAGACCATTCCAATCACGATCATGGTGGTGTCCCGGAAGTGGAAGCAGCGGGAGAAGACCAGGACTCCCAGGAAGCTGGTGATGAAGATGATGTAACCTGCAGCCATGCCATAGCCCACCTGCACTTGGTTCCAACTGAGAGGTGCCCGTAACACAAAAAGTGGCATCACATCCACTGTGCCCACCACTGCCAAGTCATATATGATGGCACCCATGAAGAGAAGGACAATGATGGTTTTCTGGGGCTTTTCTTTTCCAGGAGGTGGGGGGTGCCTCTCCACATTGTGCTTCTCTGGCTGATCAGGATCCAGGGTGCGATAGGTGCCAACCATGCCAGACACAGTATCCACGGTGGCAAGTGCCTTGCTGGACTTGCCCACCGACTCAGGGACCTTCAATACCAACAAGCTGTAGAAAAGGCTAAAAATGGCACAACTCACGCTGCAGGCCGCCAGCACCAAGCCCTGCCTTGAGCGCCCAGCGATCTGCTTGAAGAGGTGCCCAGAGGCCATGCTCCCACAGAAACCGGCCAAGCCCAGGATCAGGTCAATAACAATTAGGCGCAACGAGCGGCGGCCCTCAGAGGAGCCGAGGGATCCCAGAGCCATCACCCCAGACCAGAATGCTGAGAAGCCACCACACAGCCCGTTCAGCGCCGCTGCCCCGTACATCACCTCCAGTGGCCAGTCCAGCAGCACCTTGAGCAGCAGCCCCAGGCGAGAGAGCAGGAAACCCAGCAAGGACACGCAGATGGAGACCTTGCGGTGGTAGCGGTCACTGAGCCAGCCCAGCCCGTAGGCAGACAGCAGGGGCGATAGGCCTACCACCAGGTTGTAGATGATGTAGAAATTGGAGATGGCCTTCTGTTGTTGGTCCTCTAGAGCCCCCCGGGGAGATGGGCTGGCGCTGTGGTTGGAGGAAGCCCCAGACCCGTAGTGCTCCTTCACTACGAGGAGCAGCCCCGCGTCGTAAAGGGAGGCGGCCACCTGGGACGAAGCCACCACTGGCTCAATCCAGGTCCTCACCTGGAGGCGAGACAGGTGGCCCATCCCCGGGTAGGAGGCCCCGGGGCTCATGTGGACCCTCTGATAGGTAGATAGATGTAGGTAGGGACTTGCTCGCGACCGCGGGTGGGAGATGCCGCCAAATTCAGCCGCTCCAGGCAGCCAGGTTCAGCCGGAGAGAGCGAGAATGCGCCCAGCCTCCTGGGGCGCGCAGGAGAGCCGCGAGTGGAGCCGGGGCTCGGGGAAGCGCTGCGCGTGCGACAGTAGCTAGCCCAGCAGCCCTGTGCATTAGCGCCTGGGCCGCAGTCACACCTTCCCAGGCCAGAAAAGGCCGCGCTCCGCCCAGCCCCCGCCCCGACCTGCCAAATCGGGCTGGCGACCGCCCAGGGAAGCCAGGCGCGGGGGAGCGCCAGGCTAGTCTCGGCTTCCAAATCTCCCAACCGCTGGCGGTTTCGTCACGCTGCGCTGGTGAGCGCGGCCGCCTGACGGATTTCACCAAAGCCAAACATGACCCGACCTCCCACAGTCGCTGGGGACCTTCCCTAGCTGCTCATCACTGGGGCTAAGACCCAGTTGCAAAGGAGCCCTGGGGACCGACACAGGGAGCGTTTCCAAATTCTACTACCTCTGGTAGGCTGGTTTGGATTAGGAGTGGGATATTTAGGATTCTGCCTGGGATAGGTGGTGGATGTGAGCTTTTTAATTTGCCAGCTTTGAAAGCGAAAGTGCTTTGAGGAGTTGGGAAACACACACTAAGAGAATTTAAAAGGTCCGCTTTTTATGAGGGCTGCTCCATCATGGGCCCCAGCCTGAATGCTTGCAGGGAGGAAGTAGGAGACATGAGGTCCACTCAGCCATTGACGTCCCTCTAGAAGATAAAAGTGGCATGGCTGTAGAGCCCACTAGAAAGGACCGAGTTGCCAAGGCTTCTGGGTTCAGTACCCAAGATCACTTTCTGCTTCTTACTCATGGGCTTAGCTGTGCTGAAACCTCTACTTTGCCAGGCAACCTTGCTTCCCTCTTTAAGTACACACTTCTGCAAAGAGGACCTGTGTGTGTGTGTGTGTGTGTGTGTGGTAAAAATACATCAAAAACAAAGTTCTCTCCAGAGACTGAGGTCAGAACAGCCTCTATCCCTCTTCCCTCCACCCGCACCCCAACACAGTCAAGGCAGCATGGATAGATAGGAAACCACTAAGGGGAGGCTCATATCTGCAAAGACAATTAAAAACAAAAAACAAGTGGAGAATGTTTTTTTGGGAGTAGGGACTGAACGCCAAAGGATTTTGTGTAGATATGTGTCCATTAGGTAACTTTGAACACCTAATTGATGTTAAATTGATTTAAAGTCATTGCAACCCCATAGGTGTCTGAGTAAAATGATGTGCCATGTGAGGTAGGGTTTTCCATGGCTGTGTTTTCAAAACTAGATCAACAGGCCTTTCTTCCAAGGTGTTTCTGTGTGGACTTGAGCCCCTACCTTTCTACTCATAGCTGAATGCCTTAATCATTTGCATGATTTAAAGGCTATATGTAGTTTTTACAGAGATTTTAAGCTCATCTCTCCTTCCTGTTTGTGTCCAGGCCTAAACAGCTCTGCCCTCTGCAGAGAGAAAGGCCCACTCAAAAGCTCCTTTCTTCCCAAGGTGTGCCCTGTGAAGCTGAGCTGGCAACCCCTTCAGAGCTTCCTTACTTCCCTCGCACTTTGACCTACCATTGGGAGGTACTAGTTTCACCCAACTCATGCCTGACTCTCCCACTCCATTCCTGATCCTGTTTTACCAGAAGCCACAGCAAAGCAGTCCAACCAGCTTGTTCCTGTGAGGGGAAGAGGTTCTAGGGGCTGGGCAACCCTATGACAATAGCAGCCGGAATCAGATTTCCACATGGGCCATTTAACCAAGGGGTCTATTTGGGGGACTGAAAACACTAGGGGCAAGTTTTGTCCTCTCTGGGAGGGTCTATGCATCTCAGTTCTTGTGAAACCAGGGGAAATTGAGGGGGACCTGAGACACACATATCTAGTGGGAGCTGGGTTTGTCATCATTATAATCCTGGGGTCCTATATGCATAAGACCTGAGTCCTCTGCTCTGGAAATGACTTCGATTCAGACTACTCAGTGTCTCTCCCAATTTAGACTGCTCTGGGCTAGATTATAATCTCATCACATCTTCACTTATATCCCTCTCCATTTCTGGATATAAGTCCCAACTGCTACTGACAGGGTGTAACCCTTGAACCAAGTTGAGCCTTGATCCTGCATCTTCAAGATAGGTAAACTCTCTTGTCTCTAACTAAAGGCTGGATTTTATTTAAGTTCAAACACTCCTTTCTTTTACTTTGATAAAGTCAGACTATGCCAGGAGAGTTTGAAAACCAAAAGGAAAGAACATACTTAGCCTTTCTCAAGCTGAAAGAACTGAAGAAAAAAATTCATGCCTTGACTTGAAATACTGACAGATTCTCTGAACAGAATATTGAAGGATACAGGAAGCGTCAAAACAAGATGGAAGAAATATGCAGTCACTCTACCAAAAAGAAATGGTCAATGTTCAACCATTTCAAGAAGTAGCATATGATCAAGAGCCAGTGGTACCAAAGGAAGAAGTCCAAGCTGCATTGAAGGCATTAGCAAAGAACAAGGCACTCTGGGAATTGATAGACTACAAACTGAAATCTTTCAACAAACTAATGCAGCACTGGAGGCACTTACTCATCTATGCCAAGAAATTTGGAAGATAGCTACCTGGCCAACTTATTGGGAGAGATCCATATCTGTGCCCATTCCAAAGAGAGGTGACCCAAAGGAATGTGCAATCATCAGACAATATCATTAATATTACATGCAAGTAAAATTTTGCTATAGATCATTTTAAAATGGCTACAACAGTATATCAACAGGGAAGTGCTAGGTTCAAGCTGGATTCAGACAAGGATGTGGAGTGGAGATATCATTGCTAATGTCATATGGATCTTGGCTGAAAGCAGAGAATACCAAAAAGATGTTTACCTGTGCTTTATTGACTATGAAAAGGCTTTTGACTGTGTGGATCATGACAAGCTATGGATAACATTGCAAACAATGGGATTCTGGAACACTTAACTATGCTCTTGAGGAACCTATACATAGACCACAAAGCAGTTGTTCAAACAGAACAAGGGGATACTGAATGGTATAAAATCAGGAAAGGTGTGCCTCAGGGATATATTCTTTCATTGTACTTCTTCAATCTATACACTAAGCAAATAATCTTAGAATATGGATTATATGAAGAAGAATGTGGCATCAGAATTGGAGGAAGACTCAATAACAACCCATGATATACAAATGGCACAACCTTGCTTGCTGAAAGTGACAAGGACTTAAAATACTTACTGATGAAGATCAAAGACCATAGCCGTCAGTACGTGATGCAGCTCAAAGTAAAGAAAATAAAAATCATCACCATAGGACCAATAAATAACAACATGATAAATGAGGGAGGGGGAAATGAAGTTGTTGAAGACTTTGTTTTTGGAACCACTATCAACACTAATGGAAGCAGCAGTCAAGAAATCAAACGACATATAGCATTAGGCAAATCTACACAAGACTTCTTTAAAGCATTCAAGAGCAAAGATGTCACTTTGAGGACTAGAGTACACCTAACCCGAACCATGGTATTTTCAATGGCCTCATATTCTTGTGAAACTTGGACAGTGAATAAGGAAGATCATAAAAGAATCGATATATTTAAGTTATGGTGTGAAGAAGAATATTAAAAGTACCATGGACTGCCGGAAGAACAAACTGATCTGTGTTGTATGAAGTACAGCCAGAATGCTCCTTAAAAGGCAGAATGGTAAGATTTCATCTTTGATGCATCCCTAGGAAGCAGTCCTTAGAAAGGGCATCATACTTGGTAAAGTGTAGAGTCAACAAAAAAAGAGGAAGACCCCCAAGAAGATGGATTGGCAGAGTGGCAGCAGTAATGAGATCAAGTGTAACAATTGTGAGGACAGCAGGACCTGGAATTGATTCATTCTGTTGTGCATAGGGTCACTGTGAATCACAACTGGCTTGACGACACCTAACAACAACAACATTCCACCTAACGACTACAAAGAAAAAAATAGCAGCCAACATTTATTTTCCAAAGGTAGGTGAGCCAACAGAACATAGAAATTATCAACCAGTTGTTTGATAATTTCTACATTCTGTTGGGTCACCTTTCTTTGGAGTCCTGGTATGGTGCTGAGGGTTAATGCGCTGGACTGCAAAGTTGGTTTGAACTGCAAGGTCGATGGTTCAATCTCACCAGCCACTCCTACATAGGGTAACTGTGGGTCGGAACTGACTCAATGACACTTAACAACACAATAGTCATCAATATTATATGCAAGTAAAAATTTGTTGACAATAATTCATAAATAGCTGCTAGAAATTTAAGCTGAATTTAGAATGAGATGTTGGAGGAGGACTATCATTGGTGACATCAGATCAATCTGGCTGACAGCAGAGAATACCAGAAAGATGTTTATTTGCACTTTATTGACTATGCAAAGGCATTCAACTGTGTGGATCATAACAAACTATGGATAACATTGCAAAGAATGGGCATTCCACAACATTTAAATTTATGCTCATGAAGAATCTGGACATAGACCAAGAGGCAGTTGTTGACCAGAACAAGGGGGATGCTATGTGGTTTAAAAATCACGAAAGTTGTACGTCAGGGTTGTATCTTTTCACCATACTTATTCAATCTGTATGCTGATCAAATAATCTGAGAAACTGTAGTATATTGAGAAGAATGTGGCGTTAGAACTGGAGGAAGACTCATTAACAATCTGAGATACGCAGATGACACAACCTGTTGACTGTGAAGAGGACTTGAAGTATTTACTGATGAAGATCAAAGACTACATACAGCCTTCGGTATGGATAATAACTCAGGGTAAAGAAAACAAAAATTCTCACAACTAGACCAACAAGTAACATAACAATGGAGAAAAGATTGAAGTTTCAAAGGTTTCATTTTCCTTGGATCCACAATCAATGCTTGTGGAAACAGCAGCCAAGAAATAAAAT